TTTGTGGATTCCATTGTTGATAAATATGCATTATTTGCCATTTTATTGTTCATATTTTTGTTCTTCTTTGCCTTCAAGAAGACCCTTCAACATTTCATATAATACTGGTTTGGTGGTGATGAACTCCTTTAGCTTCTTCTTGTCTGGAAAACTCTTGATATGTCCACTGATTCTAAATGATAGCTTTGCAGGATAGAGTAATCTTGGTTGTAGGTCATTGCTTTTCATCACCTTGAATATCTCTTGCCACTCCTTTCTGGCCTGCAAAGTTTCTTTTGAGAAATCAACTGACAGTCTTATGGGAGCTCCTTTGTAGGTAATGGACTACTTTTCTCTCACTGCTTTTAAGATTCTCTCTTTGTATTTAGCCTTTGGCATTTTGATGATGTGTCTTGTTGTGCACCTCTTTGGGTTCAACTTGTTTGGGACTCTCTGTGCTTCCTGGACTTGTATGTCTGTTTCCTTCACCAAGTTAGGGAAGTTTTCTGTCATTACTGTTTCAAATAGTTTTTCAATTTCTTACTCTCTATCTTCTTCAGGCACCCCTATGATGCAAATGTTGGCATGCTTGAAGTTGTCCCAGAGGTTCCTTACACTATCCTCATTTTTGGAGGATTCTTTTTTCTTTTTGCTGTTTTAGTTGGGTGTTTTCTGCTTCCTTATATTCTAAATCGATGGTTTGCTTCTTGGTTTTACCTACTCTACTATTGATTCCCTATAAATTATTCTTTATTTCAGTTAGTGCATCCTTAATTTCTGACTTGCCCTTTTTTATGTTGCTGATGTTCTCACTAAGATCCACAGAGGTCTCCTTAAGTTCCTTGAAGGTCTTACTAAGTCCCTTGGATGTCTCACCAAATTCCCTGAGCAACCTTATAACCTGTGTTCTAAACTCTCCTTCTGTTAGATTGATTACCTCCATTTTGTTTAGTTCTTTTCCTGGAGTTTTGTTCTTTTCTTTTGTTCGGGACATGTTTCATTGTCTCCTTATTTTGGCTGCTTCCCTATGATTGTTTCTATGTACTAGGCAGAGTTGCTATGCCTCCAAGGCTTCATAAGGTGGCCTATTGTTATAGGTGTCCTGTAGGCTCCAGTGACATAGCCTCACTGATCACCCCACCTGGGCCTTTGAGGTACACCCCTTGTGTGGACTGTACACCCTTCTGTTGTAATTGAGTCTTGACTGCTGTTGGTACATCAATGGAAGGGATTTACTCAGGCTGATCAGCTGCAAGGACTGGCTGTACCTACTGACAACTGGCCTCTGACTCCCTTGGAGGATGAGTGGTGTAGGAGCCCATCACACAGAACAAGGCTTACTTCAGCATGGTACCCACTGAGTCCACTCATTGAAGTGGTTGGGTGGTGGTATTTCGATGTGGTGAAGGTGTCCACCAGGTTTGCTGGCTCTGAAAGGTCACCACTGCCTGTGCTCTATCCAGGGCCACCCAGCATAAGCTACAAAGTGAACTGCAGATGGCTGCTTCTTGTGCGGGGGTTGGAGGTGTCCAGGAAAAGCCAAGTTGTGAACCAAGGCTAACTGCTTCTAGTGCCAGGCCTGGGGCCACTTAACAAGAGGTATGGGGCTCGCTGAGACTGGCCTCTCTCAAGCCCTGGCTCCACAATGCTCTTGTGGGCCACTGGGTCACATAGGGCCCTATGGAGTCCCTGGACCTGCCGCTGGTGGCTGGGGAGTGCTGCTGCCCAGTGGGCTCACCTCCTGCTCAGCCTTTGCTGTAGTTTTTTTTATTTTTTGGGGGGCGGGGGGGTGTTAGTTCTCTGCTGCTGATCTGTGCTTCTGTTGCCTGGGGATGGATATCTGCTCCCTAGCCTCTGTCACTGGGGGTATATCTCAACTTTGACCAGGCTGCTACTGTGGGGCTGGGCTCCCGGTTTTTTTGCGGTTTTCACAACCAGCACCTTGACAGCTCCACTAGTGTGCACTGGTCTGTGTTGACACAGGGTGTCCACTGGCCCGATGGTGCCAGGTGCACTGGTGGCCTCAGATACCAGCTGCTGCTTGTTTGAGAGATTTTAGGGAACTCTGAAGCAGGATCCAAGACAGGCCAATCCTATGGTAAAGCCTTTGGAAAGAGCTTGGGTGGGCCCAAAAGTTGGGTGGGGCAGTGCCTCAGGGAATCACCAGGGTGGGGCCAACAGTGTGAGCTGGGTTGCTGGAGTCCCAGATATGGCGGCTGTGTACCTGCCCTGTGGGGGAAGGGCTCACCAAAGGAAAAGCGGCCTCCATGAGCATGGCTGTCCAGGAGAAAGCTGCCTCTCCAACCCTCATCCCGAGGCCAAACAGTTCAGTTCTTCCCTGTTCTCTGGTGCCCCTCAAAATGCCTCCCCTCAGAGCTCAGAGGGGGCAGGTCTGTGTAAGTCTGTGAGAGGTGCCCTCTAAGAGGAACTGCTGGGGCTTCTGCAGCTGCAGCCTCCCTCTGCCTCAGTTCCCACTGGTTTTACAGCCAGAAGTTATGGGGACTTTTCTCCCTGGCACTGGGACCCTGAGCTGGGTGCCTGGTGTGGGATGGGGACCCCTGACTCCTCAGGGAGGGCCTTCCCAGCCAAGGTAACCCTCCTGATTTTTATCCACCACATGTGGATGTGGGACCAGCCCATCCACGCCTCCGTCCTCCTACCAGTCTCGATGTGGCGGCTTCTTTAATTTCATAGTTGTAGGACTTCCATTCAGCTCAATTTCAGGTGGTTCTGAATGATGGTTGTGTTGCAATTTTGTTGTAATTTTGATGTGGTTGTGGAGGAGGCGATACTGCATTTACTTACACCGCCATCTTTCTGTCTTCCCATTAGTCTTAATTGTTAAATGGCCCACTCATTTTTTTTTTTTGTCTCTTTCTGTTGAATTCTGGATAATTTGTTGGTATTAATCATCCACCTCACTACTTCTGTCTTCAACTGTGTCAATTATGATGTTTGACTCATCCATATAACTTTTGATTTCAACTATACAGGAGTGAGCAAAAGTAGGTTTACAGTTTTTCATGAAAAGAACATGCAAGTTATGATTATTACGATAGCTTTATTAACTCAAAAAAATAAACTCTGTGTTTTGCATACTCACAATTTTAAACATACTTTTGTCCACCCCTGTGTCTGTATTTCTCGATGGTCTATTTGACTTTTTTTCAAAGCTCACTATTCACTAATATAATCTTTTAAGACTTATCTTTTCACTTTAAACACAGTAAACATAGTTATTTTATATTCTTTGTCTGGCTTAATATCTGAAGCCTTTGAGAATCTGATTCTGATCAATATTTTGTTGTTGGTTCTCGGTAATAGTGCATGTTTCTTTTTTTAAAACAAAATTTTTTTCTTTATTGATTTTAGAGAGAGAGGAAGGGAGACAGAGAGAGAGATACAAACATCGATGAGAGAGAACATCGAGTGGCCACCTCCTGCATGCCCCCCCCCCCCACTGGGGATTTGGCCCACAATCTGGGCATGTGCCCTGCCTGGGAATCGAACCAGTGACCTCTTGGTACATAGGTCGATGCTCAACCACTGAGTCATACCAACTAGGCAATGGTGCATGTATATTTGTGATTTTTGACTGTGAGCTCATGTTCCTTGGAACATCCTCTGCATTATTTGTAGTCTGAGTTGAAGCTCCATCCCTTCAGGCTTGACCTGTATTTATTTCAGCCAGTGTCTTGGACACACATTGGTAAACTAACTCAATTTTTGTTTGTCTGAAAATGCAGTCATTCTCTGGGATGTTTTGAAGCTTTTTGGAACCACAGATATAATTAACATGGACCTCAAGTCAATATATGCTTATGAATCCTTGGGAGAGATTTCATTCCACACTGAGATTGAAACAGGCTAGTTTGCTTACTGTCCACTTCTATCCAGTGGGCTTATATTTCATTCTTCTTTACAATGAACAAGCCAGTTTTACACAAAGGTATCTAATACTTCCATCCTTAGGTGAAGGGAGTGTTTATTTTCTGTTCTCTGCAAAGATGTGAACACAGAAGCATGAGGTTTCTAAAATATAGCAAAAATACTCACTGAGACCTACTGTTCTCCTTAAGTTTCTGATTTCGTTCTGATAATGTTCTCTGCACAGTCCTTAATTTGTGTGTGTGTGTGTGTGTGTGTGTGTGTGTGTGTGTGTATCAACATATTGTTTCCATCCAGAGGACACCATTAATAATAATGCCAAAAAATACAATCATTTCATCGGTATATACATTTTAAAGTCTTTTATACAAATTGTTCTACTGCTCTCTAACAAAACTGTACCAGTTTACATTATACCCATCAGTGTGCCAATCAGAAACTACAAATTGTAATGTTTTAGGCTGGCCTTAGTTTAAATATTTCAATTGTATTTAATATGAAGCTTTATGAAATCCAAAATACTGAACTATCTCTTATCTTCTTCAATAAAAATAATGAGGATTATAGGATATTTATATTCTGGTATCCAAAAGCAAAACGGAGAAAAAAGATCATTTAAGAAAAAAATGCATATTTTGAAATTTAGAAGAATATTTTAACAGCAGTGGATAAGAGCATATTCAGGTTTTGTCACTTACTAACCGCTTGACCTTGGCAGGCCTCCATTTTTTCATCTTTAAGATGGACATGATAGTGGTTAACTCAGAGAAGTATCAGAGTATTAAATATGATGATGTTGGCAAAGCACAGAGCCTGAAAGAAAATAAATTCTCAAAACTGGTAGCTAATATAATTAACTTTCCTCAAGTGACTCCACTGGGGGGGGGGGGGAGAGTTGAGATTTGAACCCAAGTTTGCCTGAATTCAAAACCCATGAGTAACCCTTCTGATGTGCATATTGTTACAGTACTTAGAGATAGTTCCCAGAGATCTCCTGCTCAGTAGGGTAGACTTTCTTGGTGCCCATTTCCTTGCCACAAGCCCCATAGGACAAAGGAATGGGGGATTGGCATTCCTTCCTGCTAAGTGATAAAACTGATAAATATAGTAAGTTTACGTAGCTACATACTTACAGAAGATAGATGATATTAAGCCTTCCAAACAGCTTCTGGGTAAATTTTCTAATGAGGTTTTTGATACAAGAAATATCCTGTGACTCTGTTCTTCGGCAATGAACAACTTCCACCTTTCCTCTTGGAGAAGTGAGTACTGACATTTTTAATCCTGTCCCCCAAAGAGAGAAAACAACCCACTGTTAATCTAAGATGACAAGCCAGTCCAGTTACAGTACTTACAAAACTGGACATTAATTCAATTTCCATATGGTCAGAGTGAACATGTTATTAGAGTGCTAGTGGAACATATTTTGCCTTGTGGCAGGTTGTGATGACTGTCACCACAAACCAGCTGACATGTTTCTCTACAGGAGAATGATATTTCTGAGAATCATCCTGTCTAGCAATTTCTGCAACTGTATTCTTTGTTTCCAACAAAGCTGCTTTAAAGTATTCTAACAATAGGCTTGAAAAACATTGAAAGGAATTATTTACTGATTCAGGGTCCTTTTATATTTAATTAGCCACCAATGCATGTGGTCAAGAGTTACAGGGGAAATACTAAAAGCTGCTGCCCATGTTCCAAATAGAGTCCCCAAACTGGTGTTCAGAGGGGAAGCAGTCCTGAGAGAGATTTTGAGACAAAACATTCTATGGTCAAATAAATAAAGAAAATGCTGCTTGTGATAGCATTCCTGAGGGACCATTATATTCATTAAAATCTATAAGAAGTTCCATAAAAAGTACCTGCTTTCTTTGTATAACCAGCCCTTTCTGAGAAGAATCTAATGACAACAGTGGAGAATCTAGTGCTTCAGAAAGACACTTTGGGGAATGCCCTTGACAGGAACAGCAGACCACATAATGATTTCAATCTCTCTCTCCCTCTCTCTTTCCTTTCTTTCTTTCTTCCCTCCATCTCTCCCTTCCTTCTTTCCTTTTTCTTTTTCTAGGAAAAAAATGTTATTATGTACTAGCCAGTGAGGTCAAAAACAGGCAAATTAATTTTTCACCATGGTACCGACTTTAAGAACAACATGAAAAATTTCCAGCACCGTGGAAGGCTGCTGCCCAGCACCCCCTAGTCAACTTGCCCCTCCAAAGGTAACTACTACTCTGACTTCTAGTTCATAGATGATCTTTGCCAATTGTTGAACATCACATAAATGAAATAATGCAGTGTGTATAGTTTTCTTTCAAAACACAATATATCTGTTGGGTTGTTGTTGTTTAGATATATTCTTGCATAATTTTCATTTTGTGAAAGAACCAAAAAACTTCAGCACCACAGGGGCATGAGACAGCTCCTCCCTTGTCAAATGAGGAAACTGAGGTCCGTGAGGTGAAGTGACTTGCCTCGGGATACACATGTTTGGTCAGAAATAGAACCCTGTGCATCTTCCTCCAGCCCAGACCCATATCACTCCCATCTTTCAAGTAATCTTTAGGGTGGCTCTGTGGATAAGAAGTACCCCTGTCCTCACAGTCCACTGGTGTTCAGATTAACTGTAACTCAATTGTTCTTAACCATAAACATTCAGATGTTAAGGATTCAAAGAGCAGGGTAATGCAGGGGGATTTGTAAAGGTGGCAGATGGCAGACAAAAATCTCATCCAGTGGACTTTATCTTGGTAAATTCATACCACTCTTAACTTTGCAGGCTTACAAAGGGGTTTCATCAGCACACCCAATGTACGGTAATGACCGTACATTGTCCAAGCTCACAGAAAATGAAAGGACAAGTACAAAATGCTAATTTATTCCTTTACAAAGAGAAGGTCAACAGCAGGGCAGTCCAGATGTTTCTGAGCCCAGAAAGTTAACAGGTAAGTCACATGAGTTGAGTAAAAGTCTTATTTCCTCTCCTTAACAGAGTAGAAGGGAACTATTTCTCCACTTCCCATGTGCTATGTGACCACTATCTTGCAACCTTTGTGTCAAGGTGACTATAGTGAAATGGGAACCTCAGAATAGGCTTGCTCCAGCTAGATGTTGCCTTGTGGAAATGTGGGCTCAGAATGGCAGATCTTAACATTTTGAAAAGGAAGAAAAGCTTGGTATTTATATAACATCTCCAAAATTTGAAATATTGGCTCAACATTTTTTTTCACATTCTGCAGATTAAATAACATTTCTTTAAGCTGGTTTAGCTTCCTACACTGTTGTGGCAGAGCCACCCATGCACTTTCTCTTTGTAAACCAATTACACAAAAAGCCCAGCTATCAGAAGGTGGCTTACCTGGGGCCATGGTCAAGAACATAGGATGTGAAATCAGAGTACCAGGGAGGAGAACCAGCTGCTATACCTTATTAGCTGTGGCCTTAAGCAAAGTGCCTAACTGTCTGTTCCTCAGTTTCCTCATCTATAAATTAGAGATAGTATACATACCTCAAAGGGTTTTATAAATGAGTTATTATAGACAAAACACTGAAATCAGTGTGTGACACAGTTAAATGCTCAGTACATATCAATAATCATTAATATTATTATTGTTGAGCATGATATTCTCAGGATTCAAAGTAATGAACCTCAAGAACGTGCTCATCAGCCGTGAAACCTGAGGGGCCCTCATCCACTGTAGAGAGTCTAAGCCAAGAAAATTAGAGATGGGTATGCTTGGGTGACACCTTCATAGTTTTCCTAGACACCTATACATTGCTGATGATCACAGGGCCAATCAGTCTTCTTTGCGATAGACACTTCCTTTCCTAGCTAAACGAACACACCTTTAATCAAGTTGCAATCAAGTTTCGATGACCTGTTAGCATTTCCTTTCTAATATGGCTTTAGTATAGCCCAGCTACAATGAACTGATTTCATGTTCTAACTCTAAATTAATATTTCTTGACATTTAATTTTTTTTAATTATTTTAAATTACACAATAATGTATTATAATGCCTTCTTCATTATAACTTCTCAATGCACACTATGTTCTTATTGCCAAAAAAACAAAAAAACAAAAAAACCCAACAATAAAAAACAAAACCTTACATATAAGGCTGAAATCTGATCTCTTTTATTGTGGTAAAATATGCAAACATAAAACTGCCCATTTTAAGCATTTTTAAGTGTACAGATCAGTGGTATTAAGTAGATTCACACTGTTGCCCAATCATCACTACATCCAGAACTTCTCATCTGAATTCCTGATTCCTGTTTTGAAACCCTTGGTCCCAATGCAAGTCCCCTCTTTTTGGGTTTGGCATGTATATAATTTCAGACAATATTTTCTATTTTAGGAGATCAACCACATACCCTACACAATAGCCCATCAGGGAGAGAATCATTGAAAGGTATCTCACCAGAGGCCTTTTTTACTCTCATCTTATGAAAGCATTAACAAGCAATAAAATGTTCCAAAGGAGGCAATAAGAACCTGGGGGACTACTATCCCAGCAATTAAATACTCAATTATGCTTTCCACATCCCCCGTGATTGGGAAATTAGGTGCTTCCTACAAAGACATGGCATTAATAGAGACGATAAATTTTCACATTTGTGAATATCCTTTACTTTCTTTGGGTAGAAATATACTTTAATAGTGTCTAGACTCTATTCAAGCTAGCCATAAATATTGTCATTTCTGGGTTTGGTTTTAATTTAGAATCAGAATTAGAAAGAAACATCATATTTGTAAAATATTATATAATAAGGTAATGCTACAAATATATAAAAATTCTGAATAAAATAAATTATGATAGCATAATTAGAGAGCTGACCTTGGGAAAAAAGAAAAGAAGAAAGAGGACAAGCAAGGGGCATCCGCCACCCAGATGGCAATGACTCTCTGTGTCCAATGGCTCAGGAAGGGATCAGATCTGAGCACACCCTGTGGGACAGATTATAACATTCCACAGGGATAGTATGAGCCTCATTCAAAACAGAGAACTGAAACTAAAACCATACATAAAATCTGGACTTTGGAGGAGTGGACCTCTCGGTGAATGAGGGGACTAGAAAACTAGCCCAAGGAATGACGGAAAGCTTTCTCTACCTATAGCTCTAGGTGGAAAACAAAACAAAACAAAACAAAACAAAACAAAACAAAACAAAAATACTGTGAGGAGTCCAAATTCTAGACCAAAATGGGTGTGGCATCCCAATCCATATTACTTGTGTGGTATGAAAATCCCCCATAACTTCAGATAAAAGATTCTGAATGTGCCTATAAAACAAGTATGAGCCCGGCTCGTGTGGCTCACTGGTTGAGCATCAACCCATGCACAAAGAGGTCACCAGTTCGATTCCTGATCAGGGCACATGCCCAGGTTGTGGGCCCTATATCCAGTTGGGGGCATGCAGGAGGCAACTAATCGATGTTCTCCCTCATCAATGTTTCTCTCTCTCTCTCTCTCCCTCTCCCTTCCTCTCTCTCTAAAGCCAATGAAGAAAAAAATTAGTTTTTAAAAAACAAGTAGGATTACAATTATTAGAAGTATAGAAAGAGGAAAAAAAGCCATGAGAAAAGGTAATTATAAAAGAAAAGAAGCCTGGCTCAGTGGTTGAGTGTCAACTCGTGCACCAACAGGTTGCCGGTTCAATTCTGGGTCAGGGCACATGTCCAGGTTGTGGAACAAATCCTTAGTGGGGGTCATGCAAGAGGCAGCCAACCGATGTTCTCTCTCATTGATGTTTCTATCTCACATTTCCTCTTCCTTCCTCTCTCTCTAAAATCAATAAAGAAAAGAAAAATAAATTTAAAAATTTTTAAAAAGAAAACAAACTGTAATAATTAAAAATATGGTCATTAAAATGTAAACTAATTAAATTGATTAAAACATGTTAGACAAGATTGAAGAGAATGAACTGGAAAACAGTTTCAAAAAAAGCATATAGAAATAAACACATAGAAACAGGAAAATAAAATTCAGTTAAGAGACATGTAAGACAAAATGAAAAAAATCTTTGTCTTATAGGAATGTCATAAAGTATAAGTAAAATGTTGCTTGAAAATAATGGTTAATGATTTTTTAGAATTGGTGAAAGACATGAATCCTCAGTTCTGAGCAGCAAAATAAAAATAAATCCTAAATACATAGCAGTGAAACTACAAAACCCCCAAGACAAAGAGAAACCCTGAAAGCAAGCACATAAAAGACTGTCTATGAAAGAATAATAATTACACTAAGAGAGTATATTTCTCATTAGTGACAACAGA